CCCTGACCTCCGCACACGCTCCACGGTACTCGATGCCAACCACCATGCTCAGAGTAATAAAATACATTTTGAAATTTAACTTAAAGTACAAATAAAAAGATTTATAAAGAGCGTGGTGAGATGCCTCCGTGACTGAAGGGTTCTGCTGCACAAGCCTGACAACCTGAGTTCAATCAGTAGAACCCACATTAATGTGACAGGAGAGAACTAACTCCAAAGTTATCCTCTGACCTCCACAGCGGTGCCAAGGCACGCCTGCACATAGCACGCGCACACACACACACACACACACACACACACACACACACACACACACACGTGAAATCCACAATTACAACGGAAATGACAGGCATGCGCACACAAACGTGCTCTGCATGTTGTCTTGTGGAACGGGGCACAGTGGGAGGAAGCTTACCCCCCACCCCGAGCCTGTCCCAGAGATGTATGGAAGGGTAAGATTTGTTATTCTTGTCCATTTGGTGATGTAACTTCTTTCAGTTATTGTTTTAGTTTTAATAAAGGGCTCAGATTTGAAAGGAGGTGGTATGGGTTGGGGGAAAGCCAACAGAAGGAGGACGCAATGTGAGAAAAGTCTATTTTTGTATTTGAATAAATGCTCAATTTTTGATTCAATGTCAGAAAAATAGTAAGAGCTCACTATGTAGCCCCGGCGACTCTTGGACTTGCACTGCTCCAGCCTCCAGAGCGCTAGGAATATGACCATGTACCACATTGTTCCGGCTATGGGTTGTTCTTAACAACTAGATTGGCCTCCAAATGATAGAATATACGTATCATTCTAGTAAGGTCACAAATAGAAAAACAAGACACCTATACCCAAAAATAAGTTTATTAGATATGAACCAGGACCATTCTGGGCAAATAAAAACATCTTAGCACTTGCTGAGAAGGTCCTGTTCTCCTAGGACAAACCTAAAAGTGACCCATTTCTTCTTCAGTGTGGATAGACCCATCTCCAAACAAGAAGATGATGCCAACGCTCCGATTTTCTATCGTTTTATCGCCACTTCTCAATTTTCAAGGGTACTTCTTGGCAACATTGAGGTAGGTCATGGAAAAGTTACATGGTAGTGGGGCTGGAGAGATGGCTCAGTAGTCAAGAGCACTGGCTGCTCTTCCAGAGGTCCTGAGTTCAATTCCCAGCAACCACATGGTGGCTCACAACCATCTGTAATGAGATCTGATGCCCTCTTCTGGCAAAAAGTTGTTCATGCAGACAGAGTACTCAGATACATAAAATAAATAAATTTTAAAATGATTAAGCCAGAAAAGCCAGGCATGCTGTCTACCAATTCCCTTCCTTCTAGATCTTTCTCTCTCCTCATACTTCAGAATAAAATGTATCTTCTGCCTGGGGCTACTTTGCAATCTAAGAGCAAGAAAAATCTTTACCTCCACCCCAAATAACTATTTTCTTAAAAAAATAAAAATAAGCCGGGCAGTGACGCACACCTTTAATCCCAGCACTCAGGAGGCAGAGCCAGGCAGATCTCTGTGAGTTCAAGGCCAGCCTGGTCTACAGAGCGAGCTCCAGAACAGGCACCAAAACTATACAGAGAAACCCTGTCTTAAAAAACAAAAAAAAAAAAAAACTAAAAATAAATAAATATTCACATTAATTAAATTAGCACATTCTGAATAAACAATCAAAGGTAAATTGGTACATTTAATTGCTCAGAAAACTCCACAATACAATTTTAGAATATTCTCATTACCAAAAGAAGGCCCATTGTGCCTAGTTATAGCTCAGAGGATCTCTTCCATCATTGGCCCTATCCACCACAATCCACCTCCTAGGTATGTGGGAACAGAAGCAGAACCCTAAGCCCGGCACCACAGCCAGCTTTCTTAGCCGATGGACTGTTGAGCACCAACTCAGGGTTTCGTTTTCGTTTTTTTAAGATTTATTGGTTTTTATTTTATTGTTTGCCTGCCTGTATGTCTGTGACTTCCAGGGTTTTTGTTGTGCCCTTTTCTTTCCCTGGAAAAAAACTTCAGAATTAGTACTAGGACCCAGGGGTGTGACTCACAGCCTGGCCATTCTGACCACTACTACTAGAAGTGTATGAGCAGTCACACTCAAGTGGGACACTTCTCCTGCTCCCACCTGGCACTGTCCTGTAGGCCTTGGGCGTTTTAGGTCACACTTTCTCCGTGGGCCTGTTAGGGAAGTCAGTCTCAGGATAGACTGTACTGTCTGCTTAGGGAAGTCAGTCTCAGGATAGACTGTACTGTCTGCTGTTAGGGAAGTCAGTCAGTCTCAGGATAGACTGTACTGTCTGCTGTTAGGGAAGTCAGTCTCAGGATAGACTGTACTGTCTGCTTAGGGAAGTCAGTCTCAGGATAGACTGTACTGTCTGCTGTTAGGGAAGTCAGTCTCAGGACAGACTGTACTGTCTGCTGTTAGGGAAGTCAGTCTCAGGATAGACTGTACTGTCCGCTGTTAGGGAAGTCAGTCTCAGGATAGACTGTACTGTCTGCTGTTAGGGAAGTCAGTCTCAGGATAGACTGTACTGTCTGCTGTTAGGGAAGTCAGTCTCAGGATAGACTGTACTGTCTTCTTAGGGAAGTCAGTCTCAGGACAGATTGTACTGTCCGCTGTTAGGGAAGTCAGTCTCAGGATAGACTGTACTGTCTGCTGTTAGGGAAGTCAGTCTCAGGATAGACTGTACTGTCTGCTTAGGGAAGTCAGTCTCAGGATAGACTGTACTGTCTGCTGTTAGGGAAGTCAGTCTCAGGACAGATTGTACTGTCTTCTTAGGGAAGTCAGTCTCAGGATAGACTGTACTGTCTGCTTAGGGAAGTCAGTCTCAGGACAGATTGTACTGTCTGCTGTTAGGGAAGTCAGTCTCAGGATAGACTGTACTGTCTGCTTAGGGAAGTCAGTCTCAGGATAGACTGTACTGTCTGCTGTTAGGGAAGTCAGTCTCAGGACAGATTGTACTGTCTCCTTAGGGAAGTCAGTCTCAGGATAGACTGTACTGTCTGCTGTTAGGGAAGTCAGTCTCAGGATAGACTGTACTGTCTGCTTAGGGAAGTCAGTCTCAGGACAGATTGTACTGTCTGCTTAGGGAAGTCAGTCTCAGGATAGACTGTACTGTCTCCTTAGGGAAGTCAGTCTCAGGATAGACTGTACTGTCTGCTTAGGGAAGTCATTCTCAGGACAGATTGTACTGTCTGCTGTTAGGGAAGTCAGTCTCAGGATAGACTGTACTGTCTGCTGTTAGGGAAGTCAGTCTCAGGATAGACTGTACTGTCCGCTGTTAGGGAAGTCAGTCTCAGGACAGACTGTACTGTCTGCTGTTAGGGAAGTCAGTCTCAGGATAGACTGTACTGTCTGCTGTTAGGGAAGTCAGTCTCAGGATAGACTGTACTGTCTGCTGTTAGGGAAGTCAGTCAGTCTCAGGATAGACTGTACTGTCTGCTGTTAGGGAAGTCAGTCTCAGGATAGACTGTACTGTCTGCTGTTAAGGAAGTCAGTCAGTCTCAGGATAGACTGTACTGTCTGCTGTTAGGGAAGTCAGTCAGTCTCAGGATAGACTGTACTGTCCGCTGTTAGGGAAGTCAGTCAGTCTCAGGATAGACTGTACTGTCTGCTGTTAGGGAAGTCAGTCAGTCTCAGGATAGACTGTACTGTCTGCTGTTAGGGAAGTCAGTCAGTCTCAGGATAGACTGTACTGTCTGCTGTTAGGGAAGTCAGTCTCAGGATAGACTGTACTGTCTGCTTAGGGAAGTCAGTCTCAGGATAGACTGTACTGTCCGCTGTTAGGGAAGTCAGTCTCAGGATAGACTGTACTGTCCGCTGTTAGGGAAGTCAGTCTCAGGACAGATTGTACTGTCTGCTTAGGGAAGTCAGTCTCAGGACAGACTGTACTGTCTGCTGTTAGGGAAGTCAGTCAGTCTCAGGATAGACTGTACTGTCCGCTGTTAGGGAAGTCATTCTCAGGACAGATTGTACTGTCTGCTTAGGGAAGTCAGTCTCAGGATAGACTGTACTGTCTGCTTAGGGAAGTCAGTCTCAGGACAGATTGTACTGTCTTCTTAGGGAAGTCAGTCTCAGGACAGACTGTACTGTCTTCTTAGGGAAGTCAGTCTCAGGACAGACTGTACTGTCTGCTGTTAGGGAAGTCAGTCTCAGGACAGACTGTACTGTCTGCTTAGGGAAGTCAGTCTCAGGATAGACTGTACTGTCTGCTGTTAGGGAAGTCAGTCAGTCTCAGGATAGACTGTACTGTCTGCTGTTAGGGAAGTCAGTCTCAGGATAGACTGTACTGTCTGCTGTTAGGGAAGTCAGTCTCAGGACAGACTGTACTGTCTGCTTAGGGAAGTCAGTCTCAGGACAGATTGTACTGTCTGCTGTTAGGGAAGTCAGTCAGTCTCAGGATAGACTGTACTGTCTGCTTAGGGAAGTCAGTCTCAGGATAGACTGTACTGTCTGCTGTTAGGGAAGTCAGTCAGTCTCAGGATAGACTGTACTGTCTGCTGTTAGGGAAGTCAGTCTCAGGATAGACTGTACTGTCTGCTTAGGGAAGTCAGTCTCAGGATAGACTGTACTGTCTTCTTAGGGAAGTCATTCTCAGGATAGACTGTACTGTCTTCTTAGGGAAGTCATTCTCAGGACAGATTGTACTGTCTGCTGGTTATTCCTGTCTGAGTGATACCAGCTCTTCTACTCCCCTCCAGTATCCACTGCCTGGGACATCCCAGTTCATCTGAACTTTACTTCCCCCAACCATTTTGTTACTGTGTATTTTTTCTGAGATATGTCTTGTGGAGGACCAGTCCCCACCATTATTTACCCCAGGGACTCTTGAGGAATGAGGGATAAGAGACTTAGTTAGAAATAGAGGGGAGAGAAACAGAGAGAAATGCAGGATAGACTCAAGTGAGCCTGGATCCTTATCCAAACAGGTCCAGAACTTTATTCCAAAGGTCTATTTATAACAATGCCAAGGGGTGGAGCAAAAGACCTCCGCCTTGCTAGTTACAGCCAAGTGTAGACCCTTACAAACACCTGCACTCAGGCCCGTGGTCCAATCATCCTCTCTATGCAGACCCACTGGGTACCGCCACTAGGAAACCTGAAAATGGGCTCCCACAATGTCTGTACAGGTAGGTGTGTTACCGTGCCTGTGGAGGACGAGGGCAACTCTAGGGAGTCCATCTCAAGTGACTCGAGTTTGCCAAGCAACTGGTTTTACCAGCTGTGACACCTTGCTGGCTTTCCAACTTTAAAATGGTACTTTCTTTCAAATCTCCTAAATGTCTTCAACATAAACACTCTGAAAACCTTATCACTTGGCTTCCTCGCCATTACGTGTTTAAGTCTTCTCAGTATGTAAACCAGTTCAGAGTTCCAAAAGAACCTCTAGAAAATTCACAATAAACTTGGGTCATCCACAATAGGGTTGAAAAGTACTTCTCCAACTTTTTCACTATCCAGCTGTGCTTGCTATCAGCCAGTTGTTCATGGAACCGATTCGGTAGTGAGGGTTGGGGAAAGGAATGCTCCTGTCTGCAGAGGAAAGTGGGGAGGAGAGAGCACTGGTTAAAGTGAGGTGCCAGTGGCAGCAGTAGCAACACCCCATAGGAACTTGGTAGAAGACTCTTGGGCCCTGTCTAGACCAACAACATCAAGCTATCAGATCCTAACGCATGTGAAAACTCAAAGGACTTGAATTAGCTGGAGTGTCTACTGAATTACAGACCACAGTCTGTACTTAGAAATCCAGTCAAGATTTTAGAAATACCTGGTTGAAAATACCTTCTCTAATGATCTCCCCTCACCCCAGGGGAACATCCCGACTTACTTGTACATTTCTCCTCATCTATCATTTATGGGAATGTGTTATCACTTTATGAAGCTGGTATTTAGTATTAGACTTGCTGATGAGCGGTATCAGCACACTCCTGCTGCCTGTCAGTCCATGCAGTTACAGATACACTGTGTGCAGCACAAATATCAGCACACTCCTGCTGCCTGTCAGTCCATGCAGTTACAGATACACTGTGTGCAGCACAAAAGCTCAGCAGCCAGCCTTCCATTGTCAGCAAACAAGCAAGGGGAGGGTCCAGAGGTGTCGTCAGTGTGGACGACAGAGGGCATTTTTTTTTTCTTATGCAAAAGAGCAAAGAGAAGGATCAACCTAAACCAGAAGCTAACCTCTGCAGGGAGGAGCTACATGGGAAAGGGAACGCTGACAGCTGTCTTTGCTGACTCCAATTCCAGCATCATGAATGTGTCGTTTGCTCATCTCCACTTTGCAGGAGGGTACCTGCCATCTGACTCCAAGGACTGGAGGACCATCATTCCGGCTCTCTTGGTGGCTGTGTGCCTGGTGGGCTTCGTGGGGAACCTATGTGTGATTGGCATCCTCCTTCATGGTGTTTGGAAAAGGAAGCCATCCATGATCCACTCCCTGATTCTGAATCTCAGCCTGGCTGACCTCTCTCTCCTGCTCTTTTCCGCACCTGTCCGAGCCGCAGCATACTCCAAAGGTGTTTGGGATCTAGGCTGGTTCGTCTGCAAGTCCTCTGACTGGTTCATCCACATGTGCATGGCAGCCAAGAGTCTGACAACTGTTGTAGTTGCCAAAGTGTGCTTCCTGTATGCAAGTGACCCAGCCAAGCAAGTGAGTATCCACAACTGCACCATCTGGTCAGTGCTAGTGGCCATCTGGGTTATAGCCAGCCTGCTTCCCCTGCCAGAATGGTTCTTTAGCACCACCAGACATCACGGAGGCGTGGAAATGTGCCTCCTGGATGTGCCAGCTGTGGCCGAAGAATTCATGTCAGTGTTCGGTAAGCTCTACCCTCTCCTGGTGTTTTGCCTTCCTTTACTTCTAGCCAGCTTTTATTTCTGGCGAGCTTATGGCCAATGTAAAAAACGAGGTACGAAAACACAAAACCTTAGAAACCAGATTCGTTCAAAGCAACTCACAGTGATGCTGCTAAGCACTGCCATCACCTCTGCTCTTCTGTGGCTCCCCGAATGGGTAGCCTGGCTGTGGGTATGGCATCTGAAGGCTGGAGGTCCGCTGCCACCCCAGGGTTTTATAGCCCTGTCTCAAGTCCTGATGTTTTCCATCTCTACAGCAAACCCTCTCATTTTTCTAGTGATGTCTGAAGAGTTCAAGGCAGGCTTGAAAGGTGTATGGAAATGGATGGTAACCAGAAAGCCTGTAAGTGCCTCAGAGGTTCAGGGGGCACCAGCTGGAAACACAGAGGCCCTTCCTGACAAGATTCCATCTGCAGAGTCCCAAACATCCATTCAAGAGACAGACAGACATGGCTTTCCCAACTCTAGCAAAGAGAAAACTGACAAGGCAGTGGCTCCCACCCTCCCTGACGTCGAGCAGTTTTGGCATGAGAGGGATGCCGTCCCTTCAGCACCAGACAATGACCCTATACCCTGGGAACATGAAGGCCAAGAGACAGAGGGCTGTAATTAGTGGACTTAATTTTCAAAGAAAAAATGTGATTATTGTATTTACTTGTACTGTTGCTTAGCCATATTGCTGATTTATAAATTACCATTAGAAACTGCAAAGATTTCTTTCTGCATTCCCAAACTATACAATCTGGTAAGCAGAATGGCATGAGGTGATTATGCTTCAGAATTCTCTTGTCTAAAGAACTCATTAGAAGTGTTATGTAAAGTAATGATTGTGCTCACAGTAACATTCCCCCAGGGTAGCCCCTAAACACACCCCTGTACTGCACTGGCTGGAGTAGTTTATCACTGTTTCTTCCTGAAACTGCTGGCCTCACGTCAGCAAGTTATATTTCACCTAAGCATAGCTCAAAATCTACATCTACTTTGGCTTTTGTAAAGTGTAAATTTGACTTGTAAGTTCTCATTTGCTAAGTACACGTTAATATACTTGATGAAAAGTCCATATAATTTTCCTGAGCAAAATTTACAAAATAATGAATACTTCTTCTATTCTGGACTAATTTCAAACCATGGTTCTTTGGGGCCAAATTTAAGTAAATTCAAGTCTTGCCTTACAGTATAAAAGCTGTTTCAATCCTTAAAAATCTACCTGAATTAAGTTTTGGATTCAAAGTCTGAGAATATTAGTAGCCTAACATGATATTCTACATCATAATGCAGAGAATTTTCAAACAAATGTCCCTTCTCTTCCAAAAGAGTATTCCCCAAGCTTAAATGTATTCTCCTTGCTCTCTGTTCTCTAAGGCAGACTGTAAGCTGAAGATGATACAGGTATTAACTATTGATTAATAGATATAGGCAAGGACAAAGGAGAATGATGGGACTTTTCTTGTATCATCAAACTTGGAACACCCTGAACTTTAAAAATATCACAGGGCTTCTAAGATATAAAAATAATCAAATGTAACAAAGTGTGGAATAGCACACATTGGGGGGGGGGGAGAGGGGAAGAGAGAGAGAGAGAGAGAGAGAGAGAGAGAGAGAGAGAGAGAGAGAGAGAGAGAGAGAAGGAGAACGAGAATGAGAACACCCAGCAGATACTAACAGGAAATTTAGAAAATAGAATGGTCACAAGGACAATGCAAAGCAATGGACAATATAAGAAGCTTCCGAGTTCCTAGATGTGGAAAATTTGAGTATAGCAGAATGCAGCCCTGCCAATAATGGTGCATTCCTCCCCTTTAAATATAAAAAGCATTATACACTTATGATTTGTAATTGCTTTGTTAATGGAATTTGGGGGTGTTCTCCTGTTGGGTACCTCTGAGAAGAAAAATGCCTCTAAAACAAGCAATGGAGGAGTTTGGAGACTAATGTGTACAGTACAAAGAGCTGTTTTACTATAAAGGTTGTTCAGCACAGCAAGACAAAGCTGCCTTCCTTTTCACTTGTTCCAGTACAAATTGTATTTGAAGTTCTCATATTCAAATAAATATTAGTTTAGCCGAAGAATCCAAAATAACTACTTTGTGAATCCAGTTACATGAGGGGTTGCCACCGACAGTGAAAAGCAGGAAGCAAGCTTTTGTTTTATAGACACAACATGTAGAGTATAAGCTTCAAGTATATGACATCTCAACCGGTAAAGAAATAAAAGCAATGTTTTACTTCTGACAGGTGTTAGAGACTTAAAGCTGTCTGTGTCTTGAATTAGCATTTCAAAACCATCACTCAGAACAAGAGAGCTTTATGAGGCAGCCTGAGGATGACAATGTCCCAGGTTTCTGGGTAAACTGCAGATAAAGTAACACCTTAAGCTACAGATAAAACAACATATAATTATAATGAATCATTCATTAAGAACATGAGTCCTGCTCTGATCTAAAACTCTGCAAGGGAAAAACTGACTTGTTCCTTCTAAGAACAGTCCACACAAAGAATTTATGCCCTAAGTAGGACACAGGAATGCCCGTCAAGACTTCTTTACTCTTTTCTACTGTGACAGATGGATAAATGTGCAGACACTACCACATGGAGCTCAGAATGAAGGCCTCAGGGAAGGCAGACATCTGTAATAGTTTTCCTTTTGACAAGCATTTCAATTGCACTCCTAACAAAACTTAAAAACACATAGTAAGTTTATAAATGTAAATTTCAAAAGAGGGGATACAAATCCTATCTGTTTACCAGCTTCAGACCTTAGTCTGCTCATCAGTACCAGTCTTCAACAGGTCCCATAATTTCTATGACACAATGTATGGATATGACTTCTACAGAACACAAGCACAGGTCAGTCACTATTTCTTTCTAAGTGTTGTTGCCATCATGGCAGGTGGGAAGATAAGCATATCTTCTCACACATCTTATTCATGTGGCACTCTGGTACCGGCAACCTATGAGAACAACATAGGATTTACAGAGAGAGAGAGCAAGAGAACGAGAGAGACAGAAAAGGAAAAGCCAGGAAAACTTAACTGAGCAAAGGTAAGTTCATGGTACATACATGACAGGTTGAAAGGAAGCCCAAAAGGCACAAACCTTTGATATGTTAATGAGAAAGAAACAAGAAAACAAAACAAAAATTACAATATTCTCGCTATTAAGCAACAGGTAACATTAAAAGACTGAACACACAGGCACACAAAGGAAAAAGGAAGAACAGGCTTTCTACAAAATTTCTTGTCTTTTATATTGGAAATACAATATTATAGTCAAGCCTTTAAAAACTATATACTATCCAAGATTCAGTTGTCTTAAATCGCATATGCTGCTTTCTTAAAAAACAAAAACAACAAAAAAAAAACAGGTTTAAGAGTTTTTATAAAATATATTGTGTAACAATAATCATTTACAATCCACATATATAAAAGGGTTGGTTTATTGTAGTTCAAATACATAAACTGAACATTCAAACATCTTAAAATTAAACTTTAGAAACAAAAGTTCAACATTCAAACAGGAGTAGTTTACAGGGAACACCCAGAAAGGTAATTTTGTTGTCTAATTGAGAATTTCGGTAAAGATCACTCAGTGGAGAATAAAGTATGTCTAACCAGGACTCAATTCTGGCCACCATGTTAGTTATGAATGTGTTCATACCTGAGGAGAAATTACTAAAGCAATCTTCTCCTGGGCTCCACAAGACTTGGCCTCTACTCAGAGGGGGAATCAAAGCACGGAAGCAAACACACAACTAAGCTGTTCCTTAGAGACAAAGGATGGCCACTAGAATAGTCATCGTCTCCCCAAGAATTCAATTCAGTGTTTTCTCTTTTACCCGCTTCAAAACGAAATCAAAACAAACCCCAACTTCAGTTTTCTTGGAGTCTGTGGTATTTGCAAGCTCCAACCACAAATGCTCCTGTCTTGCTGAGTAACACTGCTAGTAAGAACACCACCAAGTCACTGACTTCCACACCTCATAAAAGGATGATTTTTAGCTTCGAGATTTTAAATTTACTAGACAGCCTATATTTGAGTATGTACGTCAGTCATGCCACACAAAGAAAAGCATTAAATATTTTCAAAGTGTTCTGTTCAGAGACTGCTCACAATTGCTTCTCCTTCTGTTCATCAGGTGGTTTTGCAATAGGTTGACTAATGCACATATATGTAAAAACCTGAACTTTTGGCTCATGCAAGCGTTTTCAATTAACAGAGAGCCCGTGGAAGGGTATTTAGAATTATTTTGTTGATCGTCTAGTGGGCTCTGATGCTGTGGGAGGTGGTGGTGGACCCCGGCGATCCAGGTCATCAACGTATGCCACGATCAGTTTCCTCCTCTCCTCTGGTACACAGTCCAGTACTAGATATCGTTTGTCATTCTGCAAAATTTTTTCTACATCTTTCAGGTGCTGATCAGATTCTTGGATTAGCTTTTTGGATCTGAAATAAGAAAAAAAGCACAAGAATTACTGACTGCTGTTCCCTGGTCTTTCAGAAATGAGCTGGAAATGTCCATCTAGTTCCTAATTGTGTTTCCACTTTTTAAAGAAAAACTTCACTGCAGCAGTCACCTTTGTAAATCGCCTCAGCAAAGACTCCAACGAGTGAAAGGGCCTCAGAAGCTGAATTACCCTCCCACCCCTACTGGTGGTCCCTCCAGATCAGGGCTGAGGGTGGGTAGGTAAATCTTGCCCGTGCTGTACCTGTTCTGTGGATGAACAGAGGACTTCAGTCTGCGGGGCTGCCAATCCCAGCATCTTTCACAAGCTTTCACTTTCACATCTTTCACTAAATTAACTATAAAAATGTAGAAAGAAGTCTTACTTCACATCTAATTTAAAAGCCCAAGCTGATGCAAAACATTAAGGATCCTGACGAAAAAATCCAAATGACAAAACACCTGAGAACCACACCCTCAGCGCTATCTATCCTCCCGTGCACACCCTTCATCAAGGTTGTCTGTAAGGAAGAAATGCTGGAGCGGGAAGCGTACTGGTTCCCTGCACAGCACAGGACTGTAGGCAATACCACACTGTCTTCCTGATGGAAGGTTGCTAGTGGTGATGGGCTGGGTGTGCTACACCAAAAACTTCTAAGGGCTCTGAGTTTTCATTTTTTTAAAAAATAAGTGTATCCAGCAAATAGCTTTCCTGAGGGGGAAAATAATTTTTCTGCCTTAACAAGATGATTTCAGGCATTGACGATCTAATCACACTCAATAGTCCTCAGAAGAGGCAAAAATAATTCATAGTGAAGGATTCATTTAAAGTCTCTTTGCGAATTACAATTCTTCAAAGAGTTGAGGGTCCTCAAAAAAAAGCAGTGAAGTAAAAACAAAAGTGTATTTTAAAAACTGGATGTAGATAACACAAAATACAAACTGACATCTGGGCCCTTTCTTTAAAAAAATAAAAAATAAAACCAAAAAGGTACTGTGATACAGCCTGTATCTGCCCTCGAGGAACGCTGGCATCTTCTGACTCCTCAAATTCACAATGTCAACATGTGTGTGAGTGGAAAGTATGCTCTGGCCGCTAGAGCACAGGCTAGTGGAGACAGCTGCCAGTGGGACACCCGACGGCACTCACCTGTACGTTATAAATTTGGTCTCTTTCAACAGCGTCCTGAAGTCAGCTTTGGCAGTGATGTATTTGTCTCTGATGTACTCTTCAAACTCCCTTTGTTTTTTCTGCAGGGATGGGAAAAAAAGATTAAAGGGAGAACCCAGACAGACTCTTAAAACAAACGACTTCTTTATTAAAGCAGTAACCTGTGAGTCCTGTAATAAGAGTCAGAATAAAAAAAAAAAAAAACAAGGCAGGGTAGGGTTTTCTTTCTATACAACTTACTGTAGTATATAACCTGCAAAGCACATTTTTTTAAGGAGAAAAAAAGTCACAAGAATGTGAAGCACATTCAGCTAAAATGAAATCTGTCTTCCTAATGTCCTTAGGAGGTAAGCACAAGAGAACCACAGACTAAGGATCAAACAATCTTTTCCTACACTGTATTATCTTCCAGCTCAAAGACTGTAATGCTACATAATGTATGGATATACAAAGCAAGAGAACACTCAGAACATAAGTACATACTGTGCATTTGGCTTTCTAGTGAGGAAATTGTAATGAAAGTTCTATACTATCTATATAGACCCTGCTATCAATTCCTTCTAAGTAGTTAGGTAAATTGGGAACTGACAGTGGGTCTCCTTGCTATCAGTCTATCACTCTCACAGCCCTACATATTTTGTGGTTCACATCAAAAATGCAACTTAACAGAGTTTGAGAAATTTAGTCTTTGGGATCTCTTGGTCTGACATTGAGAAGCCCAATCAGTGACAAGACAACAAGGACAGCCAAAGGGACAGAATGGTGTTTTCCAGGAAACTATTTTTTGTATTATTCCCTGTATCAGACATTAGATGGGCTTGTTTCCTATACAGAGGCCAGTGTGCAAGAACTGGGCTCTGCTGTTAAAATCTCATACATTGGAGACTGTTGCTGTAGAGGCTCCTCTACAAGAACTTAGGACCTCACACCTTTGCCAGTGTGACTTAATAGGAAGGTCCTTCCATACCTTAGTACCAACTGCCAGCCTGATGTCCACCTAGCAGAAACTGGCTGTAGTTAC